CATGTCTTTAATCTCTAAGAATCTCCATACTGTTTTATTTTTTTCTTTCTTTTTTTTTAAAACTGTAATCTTTTCGAATTTATTTTTTCTGCCTCAAATTTTTTCAATATTTAAGTGTCATAATATTTTTTGCTCTATAAGAGTGGTATTAATAATTATGATTATTAGAATCTTGGATAAAAATAGCAAGAACTGTAGCAGAATGAGAAATATTATTCAGATAAAAATTATAATATGGCCATAATCTTTATTTTGCTTCAATTTTGCAAATGTTCTTTTATTTTCTTAATTTAACACTAGAGCTTTTAATATAGTACAACTATAAATATTATGTTTAAATGAATTTGAATAAAATAAAATATTAATTTTTTTTCAAAATATTTTTATCTTTTAATTCTACAAATTGTAAAATAAGAAATAATAATTTGATATATTTTATTTGATATATTTGATTATTATTCTAGTGTTAATAAATTTAACATACTTCGATGATTTTTATGTTATATCCAAAAATACAAGATTACATATACATATCTTTACTTTATTTCCCAATAGAAATCTAAATATTAAAAAGTTTTAAAATGAAATATATCCAAAACACAAAAGATTATGCAGTATTAATGCAGTATTTGTATATCATTAATGCATTAACACATTAATTTTTTCATAAAATGTTTTTTTCTAAAGCCAAATACATTACTTCGAATACAATGATTCAATAATATAATATTGTTAATACTATATAATATTATTACTACAATACCATATATCAATAATGTAATATAATAATAATAATTAATTATTAATAATTAATAAATAATTAATTAATTTTATCTGAAAATTATAATAATTGCATAGTATTAAGTTTTAATTGACTGAGTCAATTTAAAAGATTGAATGTTTGAAATAGATAAGATAAAGAGGAAAAAAAATAGCCTGCGCTATGTATATACTGGTAAGAAATCTTTGTGTAGGTTCAAGAAAACCCAAGGGTTGACTGGAATCGAGAGAGTTGTTATTCGAAAGTCGTGTGAAGATCATCAGAGTGTCGTCAGCAAAGAGTGAAGTGAATCGTTAAAGAATTCTTCGAGAGTGGTTACAGTGTCGTTGCAGTGATTAAAATGCTTCGTAAAAGTAAGAAACTATTAGAACACCTAATAAGTATATACTGCATAAGTAATTTTTCTGAGAATTGAAATGTTTTTCTTTTTAAAACAATACGATACGATATTTTAAAAAGTATATAATAAGTTTTAAACAGATTAAACATTAAAAATTAAAGAGAAAAAAAAGAGAAAAAATTTTTTAAAAATGAAAAAACATTATTGAGAGAATAAATATTATTCAAAGAAGTACATTTAGAATTGTGTAAATTCACTTGTTTAATCCATTAATTCAGTATTAACAAACAATTTAATCATCGTTTTTAAGTATATTAAAAAAAAAAATAATAATAATGAATTCGCAATCGTATCGATGATTGACGTATTCGCAACTGGAATAATCCTACATTATTTTAAAATCTACTTGTTGCCTGTGATGTAAGTAATTTAATTTTGAAATTTAATTAAGTTATTTTAATTCTAATTTAAAGATCTAGAAATCTAATTGTTATAGACATATTTTATTTTATATTTGAAATAAGTTATATTTACATATTTTATATTTAGAATTTAATTTGTTTCTTCAAAACTATTAGCTTTTTATTTTATTAATCTATAAAGAAAAATAATAATTAAATCATAAATGGATGATATAATATTAATTTTGTAATTCAAATTTAATCATTATCATTTAATAAAAAATCAATAATTTTTAAATTTTTAACGAATAAATAATAATAAATTTTATTAAATCTTAATAAAATTCTCAAAATAATAAAATAATTTTAATAATAGTAAAATAATTTTTCGATATTTTTTTCTTTTTTTTTTTTTTTTTTTAAGAAGTTATAAATAATAAAAGACTATTATTCCAAGAATGTAATAATATATTTACAAAAACGTTTTTTTCATTTTCTTTTGTTATTATATCAAATTATTATTATTATTATTATTTTCTTCAACAATGTAACCAATGTAACCTTGGCGTGCAATGATTTTAGCACTTTTACAATCATAAGAATTTAATAATTAAAAAAGTTTTTAAATAGTTTGCGTTGAGGTTATATTTCAGATAATATAATTAATATTTCAGATAAAAATTATAAAAAAATAATATAAATCAAAAGAATAATTTCTAGAAAATATATAACAAATAAAATAAATTTTATTTTAGATTGATTAATCAATTTAAAAAATATGATTTTTTGAGAAAAATGCTTTTGAAATTACAATGAAACTTCTAGATATAGATTAAGTTCTTTAAAATTTTTGAAATATTATTTTGTGAAGATTATTAATTTTCAAAGATAAACAATGATTCAATATGCACAAATTATTACATCCATTTATCTCCATATTGCATTTCATCGCATAGCAGACATATATCATAATACTTTATACATTTCAGCGTTTCATTAAATAGACTCTAATTTCGTTATTTTTTTTTAAACTCGATTCAAAAATTTTAGCATCATATTTTCAAAATATTGTTCTTTTGATTTATAAAAGATTTATAAAAAAAACAAACAATTGTTGCGTGCCACTTGAGAATTTCCCTTAAGTAATAAATAATTACGAATATAGTGTAACATTCTTTATTTCTATTTTATTTTATTTTATTTTAAACTTTTTAAGATCTACGAAATTTCACAAAATAATTTAAATAATAAAATAATAAATTTAACAAAATTTTTTTATTAAATAATTGGATAATAATTATTCTTATTATTATTCTTATTAATATGAAAAAATAAATATAAAATATTTGTTAAATTTATTATTTTTTTAAAAACTTACGTTATGCGAACATGTGACAAACCAATTATTTAAGGAATTAATAAATTTCATAATTTTTCAAATATAAATTTTTAAAATTGTTGGTTACAAATTACAAAAGTATGAAAAATCATTATGAAAAATTCATAATAAAAATTAAAGATAATAATAATAAATGAAATGTTAATATAATTTTAAATCAAAATTGACTTGACGATCGCGATGCATATAATTTCACGGTTCATTATTCGAAAATCAAATTATAAATCGTATCAAATATTGATCTATATAAATGTTTTCTCAACAACTCTTTGTTTTGATGTAAAAAAAATTATGGATTTTCTTTTTTTATGTCTTCCAAAAATTGTATAATAAATTCGAGGAGTAGATTTCAAAAATACAATTTTTAATTTTAGAAATTTACTAATTTAAAAGTTATGCGTCTTTAAAATTTAGTATTTACATATATTAATGAGACAAGTTGTTTGCTTACACAAACAAAATTCTATAATAATGATAAATTTATAATAATATTATAATTTATTATAATAATGACAAAATATAACTAATTATAAAATTTTCTAACTAAAAATGTATTCCAAATAAAATATTAATTAAATTTTAATTTGTTGGAATCAAATTTGATTTATATTGTATTTACAAAGCTTAAGAATTATTTGTAAAAAAAACTTTGACTACACGTGTGAGCAGTGATCGGTTCTTTCAAACAAAAGAATCAGTGATGACATCACTAGGGGCAAGGACTCAACTCTTTTTAGACCTCGGCATATCCGCCAGGTCATAGTTTCAAGCATCACAGTATTCGCATATATAAAGTGTCCCAAATTTAAAATACCAAATTTTGTCAATCTATGTATATCTATGAATTTAAATAAGCAAGAAATTACATAAACATAGGTCTGCTTTCTAAAAAAAACTATAAGCAAAAATATGGAATTCTAAAGGAACAATAATATGATTTTTTCTGTCAAAGATAGCTCGAAGTCGATACTATGGCCTCTATGATCACTTGATTTTATTTGATTTTTATTTGGAAAAATTTAAACAAGAATAAATATATGTGATGAATTGATACAAAGAGTTAGTGATTCATTCAGTGTGATAAAATAAAATACAAATTCTATTTTATCTGCTTTCATTGCTATCAATATTATATATAAGAATGACCATTTTGAAATGAAATTCTATTACAATTTTATTTACATATTTAATATTAAAATTAATATCAAACAAAAATTAGTTTTAATTTAATGACTACAAATAATAAATATGACTTGTATAAAATATAATATATATAAATATCGTTTAACTGTTCCCTTTGAATTTCATATTTTTTGTTTATAATTTTTTAATAAATGGATCTATGTTTATATAACATTTTTTTATTTATTTATAGACCCATAAAATATATTGACAAAATTTAGTATTTTGAATCTGGAATACCTTATAATACAATACTTATATAATCCACTATGAACTACATTTTATAATTATCCTTTCTTAATTTAGTTTAGTTACGATTTTAGTTCTTTATTTTTATTATCATGTTCTAGTTTTAGATTAATCCAAATTCCTTTGATTATTAATCTTTGGATAATAAATCTTCTTATTTCTAATTCCAGAATCTTCTTAGATCATTATTGGATAATACAAAATCCAAAATTTTAAATACTTTCCTTAACATTCCAAA